GAGTCTGTATTTTGGGCTAGTTTTTAATCTTTTCTCTTTGTACTCCCTTTGTTTTCTGTTTTTGGGGAGCTAAGATATTTTATCTCCCCTCTTGTATCATATTCCCTCTTTTCTTTTAATTTAATGAAGCTGGTGTTATCGATCAAAAAAAAAAAAAACTAAGGAAAGCTTCTTGCGTTTGAAACAATGAGTAGGTCTCTTTTGTTCTAGGACAATTTTAAAAAGTTTCGAACAGATGCAATAAAGAAAAGAAAGAAGGATATTGTAATAGAATAAAGGGGAATTAAGGAGGATTAGTTAACACTGTAGTTTTTTCATCAGTTATGGGAAGTGGCTTGGTCTTGGCTTTGGTGTTTGTTCTTGCCTGCCTGAATCAGTTCTTCAGCTTCTGCAAGAGTGGACTCTCAAGGGTTTGAATGTAAGGGACAAGCTGCTTCGTTGGATTTTTCCAACTGCCATCTTGTGGGCTCTTTGGAAGGAAAGGAACTGCCGAATTTTTGATAAAAAATGTTCTGATGTAGCTTCAATTAAGATCAAAATTATAGGTTTTCTGTGTTCTTGGTTAACTGTACAAAGGGCTTTCAATGGTTTCCAGCTTTTATCTTTTTTGCAACCTGGGCCTTTTATTCACTGAATTCTCAGGTCTTTTTTGTGTATTCCCAATGTAAAAGCTGTCATTGTACATGGGCTGATGTATTTGGTTTTCTTTCTTTTGCAGTATAATACCTTACCTTCAAAAAAAAAAAAGATAAAAAAAAGACTAAATTGAGATTAATAACTAAATATATAAGATGTGAAAAACTGATAAAATGTATACAATAGAGCCTAATGGTCAACATCATTAAGTTTCTATAGAAGTTAGCACCCAAAGATAGAGTCAAAATCTTCAATTGTGGAGTCAGCACCAAAGTATAAACATTGTAAAAACAATTCAACATTCATTAATTCAATCAATGCCCAAAAGGAATGTTTACATGGGTTCATACGCACACACACCCACCCACCTAAATAATGAAATTAGAAAAAAAGAAATACTTGCTAGAATATTGTAAATACCCCAAATATTCAACAACTTGAGGATCAAGATTTGATTGGGATTGAGTCTTTTCATCTTTTGCTTATCACATTGGGTCCACTTAGAGGTGTAAATCGGGCCATGCCGTGCCAGCCCGCATGCCTTCCTGGGCCGTGCCGCCCTCCCTGGGATAACTTGGGGGGTTGGCCCGGCCCGGCCCATGGCCCAACTCCATGCGGAGCCGTGCCATGCTGCGGGCCAGGCTAGGCCGTGGACTGGACCAAAGCTATTTATTTAAATAATTTGAAAAAAAACTTAAAATTTTAATTTTATATGAATTTTGATGTATACAATTGATTATATATACAATAATTAAATAAATTAATATAATAAAATTGAATATAGTTGTTTATTTTATTAATATATTATCTACTATATATTATTATATAATTATAATTTATATAGATATATTATATATTATATATAAAAATATATAATATAAATATATAAATAATATATATGGGCCATGTTGGGCGGCACAACCCACTCGGTCGTATTGTGCCAGCCTGGCCCACGGACCTAAAACCCTAGGCCCAGCACGGCCCACATGATCACGCCAAGCCTGACACAGCTTACGTGCCGTAGTGCCGGGCCGCGAGCGACACGGGCCGATTTACACGAATTTGGATCTCCTGCCCACGAGAACCTTGCTCACGTTTATCGCAGCCACACATGGAGAACATCTCATCCTCTGCATAGTATTATGCAGGGGGAGATGTTCCCAATTCACGGGGGGTAGTGTATTGTGGGTAGACGTGGGCAGGAGATCCGGACTCTGGTACACCTCTAGGTCCACTTGCGTGGACAACCAACTTTTTGGGCTTGCTGGAAAAGGATCAATTTTGTGGGCCTTTGGACCAACTCAACAATTTATTGGGCTTGGACTAGTCAAGAAATATTTGCAGGCCCAAGAAATTCTATCGGGTTTACATGCATTTGTGAAAAATCTGGTTATTGGCCCAATATGAAAGCAACTGGAAGACTCATAAAGATCTAGAGGAAGGCATGAGTTTTACTTCCCTTCGCCAACATTTGGCTTTGCATTATTTTGCCTATACAGATTTCCAAATGTGCTACGTAGTTGTACACTATTAATTATTGACAAATTCAAGTTGTAGTAAAGCAAAATCTCAAATTTGTTTATTGCTACTCACAATGCTTCAATGAGATGGTTAAAATTTCAATATATGTTTTTAGGGCATTTTATGGTTTTGGGAGTTGCGCTTGCTTTGAGGCTTTGCACATTTGCCTCTATGTATACGCCTTGTACACCTTTTAATAAACAATACATTACCATTTTCAAAAAAAAAAGAAAATATAGATGGCTAAAATTTCAGTTTACCCATCCATTTTGTAGACAATTAAATACTGCAACAAAGCACCTAAACACTTCCCATAATTTTGTTCAAATGTAGCCATAGGACTTGGTACCATGATTGCTAACCATTAGAAAAAGGTATTAATGTATTATGAATTTATGATTTATGATCTGACATGATCATTTTTAAAGCATAGATTCTAGAATTTCCTTGAAATACTATAAAAATGTTTCTCAAATGCAATAAATATGAATTACAACATGATGAATGAAGGCATAGCAAATTGAAATTGAAAAGAACTTTCTGAACACTTGAAATCCAATTAAGTCTCAGCAAAAGAAATTGAAAAAAAAATCCAGAACTCCTGAAATTAAAGAGTTCTTCCAGAGTTGTTTCTTGATTATAAATCAATTACCTCTCTGAGATCACATCCAAATCACATGATCTTGGGCTTGTAAGAAACTAAGTGACCTTCCAAATGGCACCAAAAATAAGGTGTTTACACACTTTTCAACATGCTAAATATTGGCCCYGAGGACCACTCAACAGTTGATAAACAATTATCCAAAACAAGATGTCCAAAGAGATAACTACCTGTTGTGTATTGATGTCCACACCTGAAAGCCAGCACCCAAATCCAGGATGTGAATGGTACCACCCAACTACCATCTCTGGTCTGTGATGCCAAGCAACAAATGAAAGGGAGAAAAGCAGGTAAAACTTATGTAAGACCAGGTTTGTTATATACAGATATATAAAAAGAAATTGAAATTAATAAAGTAAAAGGAATGGGAAAATCAATGACCGATGAACAATCTATCAGTCTGGAGCAGAATTTGCGTGGGGGCAAGTTAAGGGCCAAAGCAAACCTAAACAAGAATATCGAATTGTCAATTACTTAGCCAAACCAACTCTTAAATCAACCTAGAGCCTATCCAAATCTAATAATATAATCCTAATCCAGCAGGGATAAGGTTAGGATAGGTCATTTAGGCCTGGATTACAATGTCACACAACTCATTCTAGACTGCAACTTAACAAGTATATGGTAATTGGAATCACATCCTTACATTTTCTGTCAAGAAAGCAAAGATTTTCTTTTTCATTTTTTTTGGAAAGGTAAGGTGTTATTAATGACATTATGTATCAAAAGGATTACATCAGCACCTAAGACCTATGTATGCCAAGGTACCATACAATCAAAATATACAGGTAGTAAGAAGTATCAGTAACTATATCTGTTTACAAACAAACTGTCACTTAAAAAAAAAAAAAGAAAAAGAAAACAATGAGCTATAACTAACACCTCCAAAGCATTTGTGCATCGACTTGTTATTTTTTTATCAATAAAATTTATTATCATATATTGGCAGAAAAAATTCTTTGTTGATGAGAACAACACAAAAAGCCTTGTCCTAATTATATGTGCAGAGCAACAAAAATCTTGTTTTACCATTCCACTCTATATAGGGCCATATCTATGTTTAAATTTTGAGTTGCCAAATCATTTCTCACTATCTTAATTCATACTTTTGCAGCCTGACCTGCATCAGATTACTTCTTCCTACTAGATTAGTAGGTGGTCTTCCATGGAAATGCCTAAGCCATCTTAGATTCTTAGTCTACTTTCCTTCATTTAATCATCTAAAGGCTACTCCTAGAACCCCATGAATTAACTCATTTATTTTGTAGTTTTGTCACTAATCCATCTCGACATGAAGTTGCTGTTTTATTTAATTGAAGAGAGAGAGAGAGAGAGAGAGAGAGAATAGAAAAATAAAAAAAAAAAGAAAAAAAGAAAGAAAACTCTCTATACTTCTATTCTTTTCTTTCTTTCTTCTTCTTTCCTCAAAATCCTTTGATCTTTTAAATTTCCATAGTAAAAAATCAAAACAAAGCATAAACCCGTTGATCTTTTATAATAGAATGTATTAACACACGTTAATAAGATATACCAATATAAATCATATTATAATAAGGCACCCATCTTGTCATTTTTGTCACCTAGGCAGGTGCTTAGTTGCCTAGGCATGCGCCTAGTCACTTAGACGGGTGCCTAGTTACTATAAGTAAAGGCGTTTGGGTAAGGCACCCAGCCAAGGGTGCACCTAGCCACTAGGCAACACCTTTACAACTTTGTTTTTTTTTTTGATAAATAAACCTTCATAACTTTGTTATCAATCTAATAGACATCTTATAAAATTTCCCCTAATCCCCTTTAACCTAATCAGTGTTTCACCTTTTATCAATAAAGCAATACATTTTGTTTTGGCAGGTAAAAGCTAGTATTAATTAAAATTATCCTTCTTCATCCACTGCAAAGAGTGTGGCTTAAGTACAATACAACCATCAAGTGCTAACCAAATAAAATTGAAATTTAGTAGATGTAGTACTGAACATCCAGGATCTTCATACATAGGTGCGATGTCTAGGGATGCGTATGGAACCATATTAGCAATATACTCTGGCCTGGTTGGCTAATGGGATCTCTGTAAAGCTGACTTGCTAGCATCATTATGAGGCTTGAAAATGTAATGGTAGAAGGGGGCAAAAGGTGGTATTTGGCTTGGTTGAAAGAAGATAAAGGATCATGGCAGTATTGACACATTATGAGCGAGATAGGACATTTGGCAAGTGAGCTAATTCCATTTTCTCTTGGGTTCAAAAATCAGCACATAGTTTTGCTGATGCTTCGGCTAAACAAAGGGTGAACAGGGAACAATCTTTTGGGCACAATTGTAGAGTAAATAGAAAAATTGGGTTATGTGGTTACTTGCCAAACTATACTTTGTGATGCCTGGCAACTTGTATACAATACATGTAAATTTTATGTGCATATATTATGAAAATACCCAGTTGTCACCAAAGCATTGGGCCATGTATTATTTCACACTGATTCTGAATTGTAGCAGAGGCATTCCATTGAAGTCCATTAAATTATGTGATCTATGGAAGCAAAGTGACTGAACTTCAAATTCAAGAAGTCAAAGTATCTTATTTATATGCTTTAACCAACTATACTATAAAAGGACATATATATATATATATTCAAAGTTTAATTAAATTTTGTAAGCCATGCATATTGAGAAATAACTCTTAGCTTTGGAAGCAAGATATAGGCATAATTAATAAGTCTATATCCAGGATCTTTGGAAATGGAAAGTAATATCTTCATTTCCAACACCCATGTCCATGTTGGTATCCATATCTGGACATCATAGCACATGAACAACAAAATTGAAAAGTAGGCTAAGAAACACACAAGAACTCAATGAACTTGATTTTTTTTAGAATAAGTAAAGTATCAATTCTTTTTTTGATAGAAAAAAAAGGAAGTACAATTCATTAAAGAGACAAGTACAACCAGAGGCTGTACAAAGGAGACCGGATCTGCTCCTCACACCTGGCGCCTCACACACACATCCTATCATACATTGGGAACATCTCCCGTATTTATTTATTATTATTCACGGGAGATGTTCCCAATGCACAGTGGATGTGCATGTGAGGCACCCATTTGTGAGGAGCAGATCCCGTCACTGTAAAAGGAAGTACAAACATTCAAACCACTATCCCATTGGAAGATACAGACTTCCAATATCAAAAAGAGAAATATAGAAAGAACTGTCAACTTTTAACTGTGCCAAAGACCAAGAATATAGCTTCCCCACAATTTTCTGCCATATTTCATCCTCTTGACAGCTCTTTATTTGAAATATCCTTAAGTTTCGTTCTTGCCATATCGACCAGAACACTGCACCTGGAATCAGATGCCATAAGATTTTCCCTTTCTTGCTTAGGCCTTGTAATTTCCAGCTGTTTACAAAAGCAACCACTGATGCTGGGCAGCTACTTCTGAAAGCAAAAATTCTAAAAATCCTCACCCAAATGTTGTGAGTGAAGCTACAGTGCAGAAATAGGTGGTCACCTGACTCATCTACACTGCTACATAACACACACCTTGTAGAATCAATCAACACACCCTCCTAATCAGGTTGTCTCTTGTAGAGATCTTATTCAGGTAGGCAGCCCAAATAAAGAAAGACACCTTTGAGTATTACATGCGTAGGGAAATCCTGCTCTTCTTGAATCAATTTATTATAGGAAGACTTCACCGAAAACTGGTCTTTGCTATCTGCTAACCACACCCTTTTGTCTGCTGCATTGAGGTCAATTTGGGTGTTATACAGCCTTTGTAAAAGCCTTCCAAATGGCTCAATCTCCCAATCATTCAAAGCCCTTCTGAAAAGAGGATTCCAGACAAACACCCCATTTTGTGGCAGGACATATTCATCCACTTTTTTCCTCCTTGTCTGCAGCAATTGCGAATAAATCTGGGAAATTATCCTTCAGCTTATTATTCCCACACCAACAGTCCAGCCAAAAGTTTACACTAGTACCCCTTCCCACTACAAACTTGATTTCCTTGCTAAAAGAACTGTAGTTTTTTTCAATTCTCTTCCAAACCGAACAACCATACGACTGATTTGCTTCTCCTGGGTCCCATCCTTCATTTCTTGAACCATATTTTGTTTCGATTACTCTCTTCCACAAGCAATTCCTTTGATGACCAAACATCCAGAACCACTTGCCTAGTAAGGCTAAATTCATTTCCCAGATTCTTCTTATTCCCATCCCTCCATTCTTTTTTTTGTTTCCACGCCTTTCCCCAATTTACTAAATGAATTTTCTTACTCTCCTTCCATCCCTTCCACAGAAGCTCTCTCATTTTCCTCTCAATCTTGTTGGTCACCCCTGCTGGAATTGGGTAAGGAGACAGCTAGAAAATAGGAAGGGAGAAAAAACCATTCTTAATTAGTGTGAGCTTACCTCCCTTTGAAAGATACCTTGATTTCCATCCAGCTAGTCTCTCCGCAATCCTCTCCACAATCCTCTCCACAATAGGTCTCCAAATAATCTTGGAATTACACTTGGCCCCTAAATGCATTTCCAAATACTTTAAAGGGAACTTTCCTACTTTAAACCCCCATGAGTCGGCCCAAGATTGCACATCTTTTTTTTTGGATGAATCATGAAGAATTTTATTAAGATAAAGTTTAGAGTATAAAGTAACCCAAGATTGCACATCTTGAACCTCTCCTACTGTTACCAGCTCACTTTTGTGTACATTCAAGTGTAATCCCGACACCACTTCGAACCACCAAAGAATGGCCATTGGATTATCAATTTGCTCCCTGGATGCGTTGGCATTGCAGGAAAAAAAAAAAACTGAATCATCTGCAAACTGTAATAAAGGAATTTCCAGCCTGTTTTCTCCCACCCCGAAACTTTCCAAAAAAAACCCTGACACTGCCAACTTTGTAACCACTCAAGGCAGTTAGCATCCTTATATAACTCTGCACTCCCAACTTTGTACCTATCTGGTATATTCAGAAGAACGTTAGATGACCTTGGGAATGGCATAAAGAAGATCTTCTTTCCAAGGTTCAAACTTTTGATACGATACACCCCATATTGGGCATAAGGTATTGTATCGTTTTTGATGAATGGTATTGACGTATTGTATTGTATTGTGTCGTTTTTGATGAATGGTATTGTATTGTATTGTATCGTTAGCTGACTGAAATGCCTTTTTTAAGGTTTTTCCATAAACTTAAGTTTTTAAGTGTTAAATTCCCTTAAAATCAAACCCCCGCCCCTGTAAAAAATATCAGAGTAAAAAAAAATGTTCTATGGTATCAAAACACCTGATACTCATGTTCATGTGTATTGGGTGTACCGATACTTTAAACCTTGGTTCATTTTAGGAGCTGAAGATCTAGTTTCCATTATGAAATAATGGAAAAAAGGACCAAGGACAATAACCTTCTTTACGAGTYCATCCAATAGCCATCTCATAATTTAAGCACTAATCAGGTTCTTGTTACCAATGGGACCCAAATAGACAAGAATGATTTCCACATCATGTCTTCATAGATCCAAACTTCATTTATGAATTATGAACAAGGGAAGTGATTCTTGAAGAGTTGGTGGTGAAGGTTCAGGAATAAGTGGTGCTTTAGAAAAAAAGGTCATTAATTATAAGTACATCGTTATGAACATGGGTGAGAGTTTCGCCCGATTACCTTTTTTCATCGGTTTCACCTGGTGACCTTGTCTTATGGGATAAGTGCCTATTGATAGCATGAAGGTGACAATGACTTCAAGGTAGTATTTGGTTCAAAGTCAAAAAAATTTAAAGAGATAATTAATGGAATAAAAACACTTCTAGACAAGATCCACTGTGCCTCATCTCCAATTCTAATTTAAGTCATCTATGTTTTTTGAATTACTTGTTTTGAACGTCAGAAACMAAGTCATTTCCATCCATTACTTTATCTCTTCTAAGTCCATTCAATGAGTTGTGATCCCATCAACGGGTATAGGAATATGACTGTTCCAATTGGCACTAGGTAGCGAGTAAGAGGAAATTCAAGGTAGAAGACAAGTAGGCAATTCCAGACTGCAAGTTTACTATATGATTTTATAACAAAATATCATGTGGCCAAAAAATTTCTTTAGCTCTTTTCTCTGCTTATGGGTTCCGCAATAAATTTGTTTTCTTTGATCACTTATTCCCAATCGCCGGGAAAAGGATAACCAGAAGAGAAAACTTGTTTCATGTAGAAAAAGATAAATAAATAATTMCCTGCCAGTCTGCTTGAGCATATCGAGCATGGTAGTCTGGAAGACATGATCAACGGCCTCGACACTAACGCCAGTACCACTCTGGGGCATCGCGAAAACGTCAACAACACGAACAGTGTACTCGTCTACGAACTCACCCAACATCAAACCCATCACTTCCATCGGAACCCCAGCTCTTCCTATCCTCACCCACCAAATACTAACTATTAGGGTTTAAAATCCGCGATCCCACAATTAAATAGGAAAAACAATAGAATGCAGAAAAGAGAGAAACCCTAATTAACAGATCCAGGATACTTTCTGCTGTATATAGCTATTAAATAAAATAGAAGGGATTTACCATGCTTGAGCATCTTAAGGAGGGCCAGAGAAGAAATGTAGACCTGCTCCGACGTATCAAGCAGCGGAGAATCTGGAGGTGGGTGTCCCACCCCCAGCCCCCCTGCTGCTCCCGCGATCATCCTCTGTAATCTCTCCATTACTTCCTACTCCTCTTCTCTCTCCCCCCTCTCTTTTCCCCCCTGGTCTGAAACTTGCGAATTTAAAATGGCAAATGCTATATGAGACGGAAAAATCTGCGCCCCACGTGCATATGTTAGGGTGATTGGGACCATCTCCCAAATTGATGGTTGGGATGTGCTGTGGGGCACCCGTAGTCCATAAAGCGCGCTTGGGGCGCAGATGAGACCGGATCTGCTCCTCGTACATGGCGCTCACAATGACGGGAGATGTTTTCAATGCACGGTGCGATGTGCTTATGAGGTTATTGTGAGGCGCCATATGTCAGGAGTACATCCAGATTCATTGCAGATGTGAATTCATTCTAATTGGGGCGGTTATATCAGCATTCATATGTTTGATTACTTATCCTGCGCGGGAACCGTTGTATTAGAATCTTTTTTATCTCATATGAGAGATGCTACATCCTGTCTAAAACCAACGGTATCGGGATAAAGAACAAAGAAAATTTCCTCTGAAGTTTTCTAATGGCAATTATTGCCTTGAATTTTTTAACATAATTGCAATCCCTCACGAGTTATGACAGCATTTCGCCCACAATAGCATATTTGGTTTTTGCTGCATTTCCTTTTGAGCCAATATAACAAGGTAAAAGGCAGAGTAGAATGTTTTTGGTTTTCTTTTGAGGCTGCTGCTGCTATAAGGAAAAGTCAGGGGAGGTGATTGCCATTACCAAACTTATGGGGGAGGGGGCTTCAGCAATTTTTCCTCCTCCTAAAAAAACGACATCGGATTCCATGGTCCATAATCCGTATTCTATGTATTGGAGGAACCGGGATGTAGTGTTGGTTCATTAATTTTTGAGAATTAATATGTATAATATTTTGATCATTTTTGTTTTAATTTATTTATAGGAAAATCTATAATGTCTAAAAGACATCATACTTGAAAGGTTTTAACCAAACACAACCTCTGTGAATTTTGGTGAAAATCCACCTGATTGGTTCCTACTTTTATGATACCAGTTGATTGGTTGTAAGTTCTTCCGGTATCATGTCTTTCCAACATCATATTTATACTATTCAATGTTCTAATTCAATTGGAATCCAACATAAATAAGATGGTTAAGATATGATTTGAATTTGAATATAAAGGAATCAAATTTATATTATGTCCAATCCAATTTAATCCGTTTATGACTCTTTGGTCCATGACCTAATTAAGTGTTTTGCTTTTGAGAAAAAAAAAAAAAAAAAGATTTTGCTTTTGCATGGACCTTGGCTAGCCAATTCGGGCTTTGAACCGAGTTTGGTATGGGCCTAGGCTCAAAGTTGGGCTTAAATTCTTCCATGGGGTGGTTGTCATGGGCTTGGTAAGGTCTTACAAATACAACATAGAAAAAGCAGCCTTTGTACCTCGTCAGTCCCATCCCATGGAAGCCCGGTTTATTATTGGGAGAATGATTGTTCAGCCTACCTCACAATTCTTAGCCCCACCATACAGGTGGTCTCTTCATGTACTAGTGGATAATAATTGATGAATCTCAAACTGCAACGTATAGATTTGTCTAGCTCTCTTTGACTCATAACGAGTAAAGGTTGACTGGTAGAGAGAGACAGAGGAGAGTCACCCTCACCTAAACACCTGTTTTACTTGCCGCAGTGGTACTGGGACCTATCAACTCAGACGTTAATTTGGAGGATATTCTATCTGCAGACTGCAGTTGAGTGGATCATTCCATTCCACGTGGACACATGCATAATTGGATGTACTTATTGGTGCCTATGACCAATGTTTTTCAATCCAGCAGCAATATTGTTGGCGCAGACGGTCATCAGACCATTAGATCTATCATTCAAAAAGAGGAAACCGGGTTGGTTCGATTTCAAACCTATCTAATCTTGATTCTTAAAATTCCATTGGTTTGATCAGCAAATCACCTGTTAACTCATCCACCAATAAATCAGGAGGCCTATGTATATAATCCCTGACTCGTGTACTATTATTTTGTCAATTCACATTTCACCCAACCACCAATCAACCAAAAATCTGCCTCTTGGATAGTTTGGACAGTTTATTACATCCCCCATAAAATGGGTTCAGAATCAAAGACTGCTGTTGCTATTATTAGGCCTTGCACCCCAGGAAGATTAAGGTTTGAGGGGTCAAATGATATTCAAATCCAAGGGTTTCTCTTGGGAGTTGGGGTTGAGGRTCTACCTACTAAATGAAAAGTATAAAAAATAAATGAAAAAAAAGGATTTATGAATGTGTCATGCCCCGACATATGGGAGGTGGTCATGGTCTGTTTTATAGCAGAAGACAGAAAAGATCATAAACTAATTTCTCTGGTAGACTGGTAGGGGCTGATGAGGATGTCATATTGACTTATATAAACTCATTTATTTAAAGAAAATCTGATATCAATGGCTTTATATCCTCCACTAATTCATGATTTTGTTGACAACGAATCTCTTTCAGATATAATGAAGTAAAATTAAATAAGGTGGGGATCAGTGGGGTTTATATAATACCTAACCAGAATTTTCAACTCTGCAGCTACAATTAATTGTGATATAAAAAGAAAAAATGTCGAAATACACAATTTATCAATTATCACAAGGCAGGCAGTGGCATCCATATAGGAATCTACTCAACCCGACATGCTATTGTCTAGCTAGAAAGATCACTGCTTTTTTTCATCTATTCATTTTTACAAAATTGAGAAAAACAAATCAAGGGTCATTGCACTTTTTTTTGTTTGAAGAAAGGCAGCTTCATTCATGATCAAGGCTGTGTTTGGTTTGAAGGAAAAGGTAAGGAAATAGTTATGCGGTTAGCCAAACATGGTCTCTCTCTCTCTCTTACACACACACACATGTCGTATAAGACCCAAATCAATGTTCCATTTTGGATTAGGGTGGATATGGAATTGGAGGCAGAGTTGGCTATATTCCATTACTTAATGTGGGTGATGATGGAATTTATTGGAGAAAATTAATGCCTAACAAAGTCCGTGATTTCCATGTGTTTTAGCATTATATAATTTAATTAATTTCCTCCCTTGACTAGTAAATTCATTCTGCAGAGTTTAGATAGAAACCAAAATCAGTTCCATTCTGCTCCCACAATGAAAACGCATACTAAAACAATGTAATAAGATTACGAACTAATTTTATTGAATTGATGCTTTAATTACTGTTGATACACCAAGCATCTAGACCTAAAAATTAATGAAGTATAAAGAAGCTATGGTACATAAACCACTTATTAATAAATTAGGGAGCATTATTGGATTAGTCTTAGCTTGGCTACGACCTAAGATCCCCGATATCTGAAAGCTGGAACAGAACTGATTAATCACTTTTTGGACTTGGCAACATTGGGGTGTGGTGATCTTGCCTCGCGAACCCTCCGTTCATTCGAAAGTAGTTTTGCAAACCTGAAATGGAAAGCAAAGAACAAAGATCAAGTCTTTAATTTGTTGCATAGATAAAAAGACAATGTGATCAACTTCAAACCTTTTAAGAGCTTGTTCATTAGTGCCTTCACTTTCTATATGTACACAGCTACCAGTTTCCAGATTTACCCTAGAAACCGGTTTCTTCAATAATGCTTCACCCACTTTGACAAGATTCTCTAAGTTTTCCTTAGTTGCAATATCAACAGAAGCGAGGGTCTCATTTAATGTATCATCCTGGTTCATTTTCACTCAAAAACCTTAGTGGTTCATCGTCAGAGTGCGTGCTGCTGGTTGGATTCTAAAACTGAAGATAATTAAGGAAAAAGAAAACACAGTAACAAATAAACATATTTGCTGGGATGACTGAGCAATTATATTAAACAATATTAATGTCTACCTGAATTCGGAGATAGTTAATTTCAGAATGAAGGGCTTGAAAAACCACAGAGATTTGAAAATCAACCATGTCTCCACTCGCCTGTGTAAACACATCCACTAATGGAGTCGAACCCCTACTAAGTAGCCAACCCAAAATGCCCCACTTGGCTGCCATCTTTGCACTATATTTCTCATCCTTCTTTGGTGAACCAGTCCCCAAAGAAATGACTAAAAATCTTCCATAGTCCATTGGTTTTATAGGGAAGAAATCTGGGTTCCCCTTGAGAATTTCCTTTGTTACTTCACTGATGGCAACTATAGTCTGAAGCAAATTAAAAGTTCCAGAATTAATTAGTGTCACTTAAGAGTAGTGTAGTACAACCACTCAACCAGAAAAAAAGAAGAAGTGGAAATTAATATATTCTAACCGGGTTATTAGCAGCTACGCCACCATCAATGAGGTTGAATTTCCTGACTTTCGTCCCATGGGAACCTTTTGTTTCGAAGTGATGGGCAGGCAAGTAAGTTGGTGCTGCAGCGGTGCTAATGCAGATATCCGAGAGTTGAGCATCCAAGAATGGCTTTTTCTTCACCTGTATGCACAGAGGAAAATAACACCCAGTAAGCTGTTAATTGTGCTACTGGAACCTGTTGCAAGAAAAAGAATATAAGGAATGGATGCAAGTGAACTAGTAAACGAAATTAATCAATATTAATTCAGAGGGTATCCCTACAACAAGGTCTCCAAAAGAAAAAGAAAAGAAAGGAAGACACAATTTATGGTCACCATCACTGTAACCAGATTAAAATACCTAGCTAATTCAGAGTGAGTACGAATTTATTGGTGTGAGGCGCCTCACACCAACCTTTTGGTCATCACCACCAACTGACAGCTGAAACGTGGTGCATGTGAGGCGCTCTCTGTAAGGAGCAAATCCGAATTTAGATTGAAGGGCAGAAAACTAATAAGACTTAACAAAATAAAAGTGTTTATTAAAGAATTAGGACGTAAATTATGGGTAGGGTAGGATTAATAGGTAGAAGATGATAAACATTTGACATACAACTCATGTATAAGGTGACTGCTGGAGCTAATAGCTAGCTAGCTTACTCTAATAGGTATGTTAATTAAATGGAGTTGAGGATCATTCTGATAAATAATGTATCAGAACGACTGAACGCGCGACACATAACTGTATAAGGGGGAGTACATGAAATTAAAATTTAACAAGGCCAAAGTAATACACTTTTGTTTTGGTGTTCAATGAAGTAGAGAGAGAGAGAGAGAGAGAGAGAAGACCTCATAGCTGGAGAAGATGGTGGGTTGGAGGTGTTTGATATCAAAGGTTGGAATGACCACATTTGTCAAAGTGTCACGCAGCCGACTGGCTCCAAGCTTCTCCTTGACAAGGCCATGAAGATACTTTCCATTATATTTGGGTCCTGCCAGCTGCCTAATTATCTTTTTAGCAGAAGAAAATGGACCTCTGTAAGATGCAGAAAAGAAGACAATCAGTAAATATATGATGGGTGAAATTAAGCAACAAAGAGGAGAAGAGGAGGAAGACTTAAATAATAATTACTTGCACTGTGGGAAGATTTTAGGACAGTGTTCAAGGTAGAAGGCCTGGATATCCTTAGCAGCAAATAAAGGACGATTATCTTTGTCTGGTGCAGTTAACATAGCAGTAACCAGACCACCTGTGCTCGTTCCGGCAATAACATCAAAATAATCCGCTAGTCTTGCATCTTCACCATCCAGTTCCTATTACGCACCCCCAAAAAGAATAAAAAATAAAACTTCAAGGATTGGAACTAATTAAAGATCATTCCAACAAATGACAAAGGACTATGGAACTGCATGGAAAACCCAGCAAAAGCTGTATACTATATATAATACCTGTAGTTGTGATTCCAGGAAATTAAGAATAGCAGCGGGGATTATTCCTCTTATACCTCCTCCATCTATGCTAAGAATTGTGATTAGGTTACCGTATGTTGGGGGCTGTATGCACGACGATGCTCTTTCCATTATTAACTAATTAAGGCGTAAACTGAATGGAATAAGCAAAGGATTTAGAAAAGGTGATGTATGTGCATTAAAGAAAATGAGAAGAAGGAACATTTATTTATAGACTTGTATGCTTGGCCATCCATTGAAGCAAAATTAAAAAACTACTTTTGCTGTAAATTTAATTGGGCCTAACTTTCTTGCGACATGATTAATTAGCATTTAGCAATTTAGGTTTCAGCATTGCTCTTCATGATTGAGCGTTGAGATATAGTCAAAATATAATAATGGTGGCTGCCGATAGCACCTAGGTAGTGTTTGGCAGATTCCGCCATCTCTAGCTTGTTGCTCTACACACGCAGGTTCTTGCTTGAGGTAAGATTCTGTATTTATAATAAAAAAATAAAAATAAAAAAATTAAGAACCTTTAATTTGGTCCATGGTCATCATCAATCAATTGGTTGGTTGGCCTAGAGCTTAGCATCATTTTACACAGCAAGAGGGGGTTGGGGTACGTGATCGATGATCCAGTTAGATATATATATATATATATATATATATCGAGAAGCGTAGGTGAATGGAGCTTTCAAGCTCACTTAATTTGTTGACTTGTAGGTTGTTCATGGTCTAAAGTTCATCCATTCATCTCTACACAATGTGCCAAGTAAGTATTGTTCATGAACTTGTGATATATACTTCTATACTCATCGTCTTTCAATTTTGCAAGTAATGGTCATGTCAAGCTGAAACATCCAATAATTAATAACATGTTCTGAATTAAAAATGATCCTCATAGGTAGAACTTGGCTCTATGTGAAAAGAAAAAAAAAAAATCAGATTTCGTTCATCATTTTGTAATATAATCCTTTAAATTATCTTAGTTAATCACGTTAATTATTATAACTAAATCCGATCCACATATAGTTTAATAATTAACTTGTTTCACTGTGTTTCTTATATGAGCGCGCACCGCACCTGTGGGAGGTGTACCATATATATATAGTCCATCAAATTGAGATGTACATGTAGATTTGGAGATCGATGTGGCTTAATTAGGAAAAAGACCTAATTAATTACTAATTAAGAAAGGTTGATTTAATTTCTGCGGACGAGGCTTTCTGCTTTCCTTATCTTGACATTGTACGTATAGAAAAATATGCAATTCAGTGCTGGTCCAACTTTATTTCAAGTTAGGAAAGGTATAATTCAGTGTCAACAAAATAAAGTGTGGAAGGTAAAGATGTTGGTGTTAGATGAGTTCACATCAATGGCCCAGAGGGGGTGTGCTCCACAGTACATCCCAACCTTGTAGTGGGAACATCTCCTGATGACAAGTAAGGAAGATGTTGTGAATGCATGCTGAGATGTGCTAGTGGGACACAAATTGGGATCTGCTCTTCACATAGGGTGCCTCACAACGACCTCACAGACATATCCCACTGTGCATTGGGAACACATAAGTATGGGAGATGTTCCTAATGCACGGTGGAATGTGCTTGTCAGGTTGGTGTGAGGAGCAGATCCGGTCTTGTGGGGCGGGGTGCCAGATCATATTGGTAGGTTGTTGGAACTTATATATATATATATATATATATATATATATATTCCTTTGTTGTGTTATTGTTTATTTCCGCTTTATCTTTTTTACTATTTAAATTCAATGTATTCGCCTGAACCCATTTATTCTAAACTTTTACATTCTTCATCATTTTAAAAAACTTCGAGACTGAATAATATATAATTTGTGTAGGAAGGAAGGGGCAGGGCGGCTCCACTCCTTTTGGACGTATGGAGGAGGGAGGAGGGAGGAGGACCATTCACTCATTCAGCATAAAGAAGAAAAGGATTGGATGCTATTAAACAATTCCGCAATTCTGGTACTTGGCTCCGAGTACTGATTAATATATAATTTATGTAGGAAGTGGTAGTTCATATGTAGCTTATATAATTAATTAAGAGGGAAGACCTAGTTGAACCTGCATAACTGGATTGATCCAAGAGGATATAACAAGCGTTGGGTTATATTCTCTCTCTGGTTAAACATGTTTATCTTTTAATCTTGTCTGAATTTGAGTCATGATTAGATTTGGCAACATGCATGTGGTAAGGCTTATAGGGTTCATAGAAAAACCTCCTAATGATCATCTCACCCTATTACTTGTTTCTGGTTTACCTTAATTTTCTTATGAAACGCTGGAAGTAGCAGMTATATATTACATGGAGAAGTGGGAAATTCATGGATTTGTAACTAGAATTATTGAAAGAAAGAMAAAGCAGATAATTAATTGTAACAAGGCAGCTGGGCTTGCAATTGGCATCCGCCTTGTATTTATTCGCACAACATAAATTCCAATATGAAATACATACAAAATAAAGACTAATTAACTGCAATTAGCATAGTATAGTGCCACAAGTACTTCCAAGTGGATTGTTCAGTGAGTTTATTGATTGAATGCAATTTCCAGATCAATATCATCCATTATAGTTTTACGATATTTTGGTGGGGTGATGTTGCATCTCGAAGCCTCTTCTCGTCTGAGAGTAGTTTGGCAAACCTGGAAAATTTAGGAGAATTTAAACAAATTAATTAAGCATATGCACACGCAGAAGCTCCATTATTAGTATATATTAATTAAAGTTAAGAAATGTTGTAACATATAAATGAGTTTAATTATATTTTACCTTCTGAGTTCCTCCTCATTTGTGCCTTTGGTTTTAGAAGGCTCATATATACCAGTGTCCAAATTAACCCTGGAAACCGGATTTTTCAGCAAAGCTTCACCGACTTTTACGAGGTTGTCCAAGTTTTCCTTGGTGGCGACATCAACTGAAGATACAGTACTTCCCAACGTATCGTCCTACATTAATTTTTTATTTTAATTAGCTAGGTCGTGTCACTCGTCAGTATTGGATTCTAATTAAAAACCAGAGAATCAGAGCAAATATATATATATATATATTGTTCCGGTGGTCTGTACTGTAGTACCTGAATGCGGAGGTAATTATCTTCAGAGCGAAGGGCCTGAAAAACTACTGAAATGTGTAAGTCCACCATGTCTCCGCTTGCATGCGTGAATACATCCACTAACGGGGTGGAGCCACCTTCCAGCAACCACCCCATGACACCCCATTTTGCTGCTTGATGCGCACTGTATTTCTCTGCGGCCTTAGGTGCACCAGTGCCCAAAGATATAACCAGAAATCTTCCATAATCCATTGGTTTTATGGGGAAGAAATCTGGGCTTCCCTTGGTTATCTCCTTCGTCACTTCTCTCATAGCAACCAGAGTCTGAAACCGCCATTCATCAGAAATAAGAAAATAGAAAAAAAAAATTAAAAGGTATAGATAACGCCTCAATTAATTAATTCTTCTAATTAAAATTCGTCAAAAGCCACATATCTATAGATACCGGGTTGTTAGCGGCCACACCACCATCAATAAGGTTGAATTCTCTCACTTTTCCATCGGGATCTTGGGTTTGAAAATAGTGGGCAGGTAGATAAGTTGGGGCTGCAGAAGTACTGATGCATATGTCTGAGAGGAAAGCATCCAAAGATGGTTTGCTTTTCACCTAAAAATCACGGAAACGGTGAGGTAAATTATTAGAATTAATACAAGCTCGCCTTGACAGAAACACTTTTATATATTGACTCTTCATTCTGCAAATTAAAGGCCGCCGTAATTAACAATGGAGGATGGAATCACTAAACAAGATGCGATGAAAGGTTCTGAGTTCTGAAAGAGAGAACGATCGATATTGAACCTCATAGCTAGAGAAGATAGTTGGCTGAAGGTTTTTGATGTCGAACGTTGGGACAACCACGTTGGTCAATGTCTGGTGTAGTCGCGTGGTTTCTAGTTTCTCCTTGACGACTCTATGGAGATACTTTCCATCGTATTTTGGTCCTATTAGGGCTTTCATCACCTTTGCAGCGGGAGCCAATGGGCAACTGTAGTCACACACACACAAAAGTTTAACGGTGGAACACTGATCAGCAAATAATTTAGAACGGTTCAATTCTAGCCATATGAGGGCTGCTAGCTACCACCGTCCACGTGATGGTAGTGCCCTTTAAGTATGACCACCTGAACCCAGATGCCTAACATTCTACAGATATTAATGCAGGAGAGATGAAATATTATTGGCAAGAGAACTCCAGATAATATATATATATATATATATATATATATATATATATATATATATATATATATCAGGCACATTGGTCTAGAACTAGCTGAAAATTCAAGATCTCCTCCTATACCTCAGCTGTGGAAAAATTCTAGGGCATTGTTCAAGGTAGAAGGCCTTGATATCTTCTGCAGAAAACAAAGGGCGGTTCTTCTCATTTGGTGCAGTTAGCATCGCAGTCACTAGTCCACCTGTGCTTGTCCCTGCAATTACATCAAAATAGTCTGCAAGTCTTGCATCCTTACCGTCAAGTTCCTGAATCAAGGCAAACCACTTTGAATTAAAACTAATAATAAATTAAAGAATTATAGTAATTATTGATATGGGTACGTGGGAAAAATACCTATACCAAATGCATAATTGTGATGCCAAAAAAGAAAAAAAAAAAAACAAATTCTAAATTTTTTGATCCCGGGTCTAAATGTATCATAGTTGTTTCCTTTCCATCTGGAAACAACTGTGATACATTAATTTGGAATGGATATAAAAGTGAATTAGCTCGTTCTTTTGTACATATGTATATTCTAATTAAGTTACTAACCTGAAGTTGTGACTCCAAGTAGCCAAGTATAATTCCTGGGATTATCCCTCTTATTCCTCCTCCATCAATGCTAAGAATGGTGATTAGGTTTCCATATGTTGGAGGCTGTAGGCTTGATTTTGTTCTTTCCATCAGGAACTTAGGAGATAATTAATCAAAATAGGCCGGGGGGAATATTGTGAGAGAGAGAGAGAGAGAGAGAGAGGTTGTGCCAAATTGTTTGTGCTGAAGACCTTGTAGTGTGGTAAGAAAAAGAGGTAGGAAATTGTTTATGTCATGAACAACCATGATGTGATGAGTATTTATAGCTTTTTGATTTTTTGCTTTTAGTATGCTTTCATGAATGTTCAAATCTGACCAAATTCATAGTTTCCTTGGATATGTTTTGGATGGTTTTCCATATGAATGCACAGGATAACTTGTCCTAGATAGTAATGCTCTTGAACAATATGATGAGATGGTTGTAGTCATTTATTCATGAGAATTGTAGGTAAGACCATGAAGAACTTTAGGTGAGAACAATTAGGTGGGCTATTTCACTTTGCCTGGTCTTTGAAATCTATTTATCTCTTTGATTACTGAAGAGAAATGAAATAACTGGTCTATCCACTTCTTTATTAGTTTATTGTAGTCTAGCTTGCAGGTGGTTGTTAGGTACCTTGCACCATGATTAAGAACAAATAGGATGAGGATCAAGAGGCTGCGCAGACACGGGCCGGTCTTTCCTAAGAAAATTCATCACCAAGAATACAATTTTAGTGACAATGCATCTTTCTATGAGCATTCAGCAAAGGTGTGATTAATAATATGTGTTCCTTTAATTCTCAATTACAACTTTGAATAAAAAATTCGCAAAGAACAACAAATTTTGTATTCAACAAAGGTGTCTGACTAATAATGTGCAATTTTTTTAACCCCAACCTTTACTCCAAGTGGAGGGGTGGTCACCTTAAATTTTATGATCAACTGATGGAGGCCCATCTCACCCCTAGGGGCGGCAGCTCCTAGGATAAGGTCAAGAGTCCAAGATAAGTCAAGAAAGAATAATTCAAGACTTAATCCAAGACTTATCAAGAATCCAAGATTATCAAGACTCTTCCAAGATTAGCAAGAATTCAAGACTCCAATCAAGATCCAACAAAGACTCCAAGAAGCATMAAGAAATCCAAGACTCCCAGATTCATGCATAAGGAGAGCCAGGGAGATCGGACGGTGGAAGATCAAGCCCAAGAATTCCAAGAGGGTTCGACCTTATCAAGATAGCCCAAGAGGATCAAGATCAAGATCAAGATTCATGTTCTTTCCTAGTTCTTTTACAATTTCTCAATGTATTATAAATACTGCTATTTCGCAGAATTATTCATCAATTCATACTTCAGATTTTCAGAATTTCTTCAAGTTCTCTTCTTTGAGTTTTCGCCACCTTTTCTCTCTCCTAGAGAATTCGGTGTTCTTTGCTAGAAGCTAGCGATCGCCCGGTGCTTAYATAGCCAGCTCCGGTTTCCATTGCTTCCATGCTGCGTCATCAACCATTATCAAAAAGTGGAAGGGAGGACATAGCCAACTTTGCCTTAAACCCATAATACAAAATGGACTTTTTACCACACATGAAACCACCCATAAAAAACACATGGAGATTTCTAGTCAAATCTGGCAGGTCTGAAATTGTGTTGTGAGTAGAGCTCCTCTTGTCAATGCAACCTTGATTTGCCAAACTTTCAGCCACCGAGTTTACCTTCTTCAAAATTTTGTAGTTAGGGGTGAGCAAATGGGTTAGTTTTACCTGAAATTGAATGGAACCAACCTCAAACTAACCCTATACTGCCCAATCTATTATTGAGTAGGGTTCCAAATTCTTGGAAATGACCCTCACCCAATCTAGTTCCAGGTCTAGGGACTTACTCTACCTGAATTGACTAGAGAACCAGCCTTGGAGGAACTTGATGGAACTAGCCTTGGAAGTTGGAATCAAATTTGCCTTAAAATAAACCCCAAAATACTTTGAGGATGTAAATATTTGAACTCAAACACTCATGTTTACAAAGACTATAGTCTCACCTGACCATTTGGCCACGTAATGAATTGATAATTTTCTTCAATTTAATATTTGAATGTGTATAATGAGTAAAGCAAAAGACAATATTTACAAATTTTAAATTATAATGGTAAGCTCTGAACTATAAAAATTATTATTGAAAATTAAGTTTAAACATTTCATGATTGTGATTTCTAATCAATTATATATATTGATAGTAACATTATCAATGACACAATTTGTGATTATATCAGATTTAGTTATAATTCTTAATGTAAAAAAAAAAACATAACATATTAAATAAAGGAGAGAATAATTTGAATACGAGTGTAAAAGTCCTTACTTTCGAGTGGTTGGCTGAGTTCTATTATATATAATTGTTGATAGAGTTGGTTACATGTATTCAAATATTTAAGCAATGTTTTTCTATTGTTACAATGCAAGGATGGAGTGATGGAGGCCCATCCCAAGGCCCACCTCACCATATGGGCGGCAGCTCYTAGGATAGGGATAGGGGTAAGGATAATTCAAGAACTCAAGACTCATCAAGAATTCAAGTCCATCAAGAATTCAAGAATACAAGATTCATCAAGAATTCAAGAATTCAAGATCCATCAAGAATTCCAGAGATTAAGATAATCCAAGATTTCCAAGATTCATGGATTAGATCCAAGAAGATCGGATGGTGAAGATCCAGCCAGAGAGTTCGATCCTATCAAGACCAAGATCAAGAAGAGTTCGATCCTAGCAGATTAGATGATTGATATCTATCTTAGTTGTTCTTTCCTAGTTCTTCTATAATTTCCAGATGTACTATAAATATTGCTCTTTCCAAGCTAATAGACACTTCAGATTTACTCTTCTATTTTCGCCACCTTTTCTCTCTCCTCTAGAGATTTTCTTTCTTGCTTCGCTAGAAGCTTGTGTTCGCCCGGTGCTTGCATAGCCAGCCYGGTTTATTGCTTCTACGCTGCGTCATGGAGTCATGCAAGATAAGGAGATCTATGTATCTAGCTATCTGGTGAGTCAAAGTGGACTTATCTCCAATACATATAGTATTACATTAAACTCAACAGCATATATAGTGTCTAATTTGAATCTTATTTATGAGAGAACAGGCTCCATTTTTGTAAAGAAAGAACAGATTCCATAGCTAGACCTTAATTAGAACCAACCTTGAAACTTCCAAGGCCAGAACCGACTTTGGAACTGATCTTCATAGGGTAGGTTTTGGTTCTAAAAACCTGGAACCAACCCCTAGGTCCTCTAAATGGAAAGTTCCAATTCCTCAATAATATGCATGGTCAATCCATTTCCATAACTGTCAAGAAGCTTTAGCTTGAGAATAATTTAAGGATGGCAATTGTAAATATCAACGAATCAGTACTCTCAATTATGAAGTCATTAAAGCTTAATGTTTTACCATAACAGATAGCCTCAAGAACTGCCCTCACCCTCATCTCTGCTTCTATATTCAGGACTCATTTCTATAGGATTTGTGACGTGGAGTGCAAAACCTTGTATTTTGCATAACATTTTGTATGCATTTGTATTGTACTCTTTCCAAACTGAGCATTTAGGACAACCCTCATAGCTTTTGTTTGATTCATTCTTGCATTTTTATATCTTGCCAATATGCACCTCATTCTATATATGATCGATCTCCTTAAATCTTATTGTATATCATGATGAGTAGTAAACATTACAAATAAGAGAATAACTGTTTTTTTTTTTTTTTCTTTTTCCATGAAGGATGTACTAAAGCTTTGTGTTTGGACTTCTATGAAGAAGACAAATCATGATCCTTTCTTGGCATGTCCTGAGGTAAAATTTGCTCTTTCATATACATTTATCATATACCCTAGAATTTACAAAAGGTTTCATGGTTTAACAGAGTAGGTAGCTAGAGTGAAATGATCCAAAACATTAATGGGGGGAAGAAATGCATTTCTCCATTTCCATCCCCAACCCAACAAAAAAAAATCCAAAACTATTTCCTAAATTTTGCAGTAAATGGTGCCTTAAGTGGTACAATGATTTAAGGATTCCCACTTTCCTATTTCCTGAAAAACAAGTATATTTCAACAAGTGTAAGCAATGGGAGCACCATGGATTTTCTGCAAAACAAATAGAAAATTACACTTATGTAGGCAGAATGCTGAATTACCTAAACAGTACAATTCAGATCAAATATGTAAAGGAATTGTGTTGATCTTAGAGAATAGATTTTATTATCAGCAAGATAAATGCTTATAAAGGCAAGTCTGACTATCACAAATGTACATAACCTATAATCATGCATGGGAGCTTCTAAACAAACTCATTGACCATTTCCACGGCTGCAATTTTGTCTTCTGCTTTGAAAAGTGAATAAAACGAAGAAAATGGAAAAGGGTCGATTAAGCATTTTTATTAGTTTGAATATTTCACACAAACTTTATATAATGAGACAGATATGCCGCTAATTAACACAGAGGATCCCTCATTAGGGTGGACAATCTGAATCCCCCATTGCTTAGCTTCTGACATTCAAGATCATTTGACTGGTGATTTCAACTTAGACCTTACATGGAGATGGTTGTTTATCCAAAAGGTTTACTATTTCCACGTTGCTTTTTGTCTTGCATTGCTTAGCTTCTGACATTCAAGATCATTTGACTGGTAGACGGAATAAGAGTCCTAGTCTCACATGCCAAGCACCGGAGCTACCATTTTGAATGGACTTACAGAAATCGTTCTTCATAAAAAAAGTTGGATTCAATCCAATCGAAGGGTTCATTTTCACCATATCCAACTGTGGGAGCTGGCGCTTGTTGTATTGTAAGCAACAATATGATGAAGTCCTTTTCAATGCAGAACTTCGTCTATAGTGGGTATACATGAATGGAAACCATCCATTTTCACAATCCAATTCTCTGACTGTAGAATATGAAACCCTAAAGCCTCAAAGAATTAATGTGAAACCCTAGATTTTTCAATTATCATTTCCACCATCCTTCCACTAATTTTCATACGTTAAAGCCGAATGCACATAGACGGGTTCAAAACCAGACGGCACAAATGAAGTCCGTGGTCCTCCACTAGATGACTTTGTCTAGTTTTAGCTGCCCAAGTTATACAGATCTTCATTTAGAAAGATAATATATAATTTTTATACTAGTTCAAAGTTTGGATCGATCCATTGAGAACAGGCACCTGGTTTATCGATCCATGGAAAATAAAAAAAAAAGCTAGGTTTTCACTAAGACCATTATCCTGGTGAAAATTACGTAAAATTGAACTGGTCACGTAATGGCACATCCACCTCTGATTCATTTATTTCATTTAACTACCAGAGATTTAATTGCAATACAGAGCCAACAGTTAGCAATATTGCCACATCTGCTTACGAGTGGCTTATTTAAATACTAGCAGAAATGGAATTACAGTTCATGAGTCAATTTTATTATGGCTTCATGGCGTTGCCATTCGGTGATTTTGAATCACGCAGCTTCTTCTCCTCTGAGAGTAGTTTTGCAAACCTGCAAAATCCAGGGAATAATCAGAAGAGTAGGAAAAGAAAGAAAGAAAGTGTCATGCATAAGTATCATTGATTCATTGTACGTAATATGTTGAGAAATGTTCCATTTATAGAAATATAGCTAAAAATTAATTAAGGTAATTTCTACCTTCTCAGTGCCTCCTCATTCGTGATTTGCTCTTTACAAGGCTCATAGATACCTGTGTCAAGGTTTACCCTTGAAACTGGTTTCTTTAACAAAGCTTCACCAACTTTCACAAGATTGTCCAAGTTTTCCTTGGAGGCGAAATCGACTGAAGATACAGTCCCTCCCAATGTATCATCCTAGAAAATTCATGCAACTGCTAGCATCAATATTGGAGTACTCTAAACCTAGAGAATCATTGGAATTAATGATAAAGTTAATGCAAGTTTTCTGATCTCTCAGTCTTTAATTTTCAGAACATGATGAAGAACGAGTACCTGAATCCGAAGGTAATTATCTTTTGAGGAAAGGGCTTGAAAAACTGCAGAAACATGGTAGTCCACCATGTCTCCACTTGCTTGAGTGAACACGTCCACTAATGGGCTGGATCCATCGCTATGCAACCAACCCAAAACACCCCATTTTGATGCTTGCTTAGCACCGTATTTGTGTTCGGATTTAGGTGCACCGGTTCCCAAAGATAAAACCAGAAATCTACCAAACTCCATTGGTTTTATGGAGAAGGAATCTGGGTTTTTAATGATATCCTTGCTTACTTCCCCGATTGCAACTAGAGCCTGAAACCACGCAATTAATGATCAGAGCTGGACAAGAGATCAAATAATATAATCCTTCTCAAACTCATAGTGCAATTAATGCATTAATATGTACCGGGTTATTTGCAGCAACACCACCATCGATAAGGTTGAATTCTCTCACTTTTCCTTCCTCATCTTTGGTTTCGAAATAGTGAGCAGGAAGATAAGTTGGTGCTGCAGAAGTACCGATGCATACGTCTGAGAGTAAAGCATCCAAGGACGGTTTACATTTTAACTAAATTATCAAAAACATCGAAAGAGCAATTGTTAGGAAACAAGCCTATATAGCTATACCTATAAATCCATTGGCCTAGAGAAGATGTGAAGGAAAAAAAAAAAAAAATTGAATACAACACATCGGCCGAGGATGAACCTGATAGCTGGAGAAGATAGTTGGCTGGAGTTCCTTGACATCAAACGTCGGGATAACAACATTTGTCAATGTCTGGTGTAATCGTGTGCTTCCTAATTTCTTCCTGACAAGGTTATGGAGATAATAACCTTTGTATCTTGGCCCAGACAGCGATTTTATCACCTTTGCAGCGTGAGCAAATGGGCAACTGTGTTGTTATAAAATTATTAGTATGTATAATATAATAAGAAACTTCAATTCGTCTAGGTCATCATCTGAGTAATATCCATGTAAAGGTTGAGAAGTATTGGTAGATGCAAAATATAAAAATCACCGGCCATATATATAAACATCAATTGATACTACCTCTGTTGTGGAAAAATTCTAGGAGCGTTTTCGAGGTAGAAGTTCTTGATATCTTTTGCAGAAAATAAAGGGCGCTTTTTCTCATTTGGTGTAGTTAGCATGGCAGTCACCAGACCGCCTGTGCTTGTTCCTGCAATTACATCAAAATAGTCTGCAAGTCTCACATCCTCACCATCCAGTTCCTGCAACGAGAAGGTATAGGCACAACCTTGAACTAGAGCTAGTAAATAAAAACGTAAATTGACATGAAGTGGATTTAGTGCAGTGTTCTTTCATCATGCATTGAGAGACACACACACACACAAAAAAAAAAGATCAACTACTTGATTTATAAGGTATAACTTTATTCTGTTCAAGGACCTACCACATCAAAACCGATCAAATGAATTAATATGGTACATTAATACATTTTTCAGTACTGATATCACATGTACTTTGAGCTGTTGAATGTTGCAGCACTAGCAATTTAATGTTGTACCCACCACAGATGTTACATTTTTTTTTATATAACACAATAAAAAAATATACAAAGCAAGCGGAGCAAACGAAGCCTGCACCTTAACAACTAAAAAGAAAGATCAAAGAGCACACCCAAAACAGCAAAAACAATGCTAAGTGCCCACCCCATGCCAAAGAGGAAAAGTACATAACATCATTAATTATGAGGCCAAACTAAATTTTTAACACTTTCTAGCACTCCTCCCAAGTTAATGAATGAATGCAATAAAGAAGGCATATATATAAATGCATGGATGAGTCATCAAAAACTGCATCAGTTCAAAATGAGACCATGGTAATTAAATAACTAAACTTATACATGCTTAATTGGAGCAAGATATGAATTGGGAGTATTAATTAGGTTACCTGAAGTTGTGATTCCAAGAAGCCCAGAATAATTCCTGGGATTATTCCTCTTATTCCTCCTCCATCAATGCTAAGAATGGTGATGAGGTTTCCATGTGTTGGAGGATGTAGGCACGATTTTTCTCCTTCCATTAGGAATTTAGAAGAAGTAAAAGTGATGAAAATGTTGACAGAGATTTGAAGTAGTTTAATTTGTTTGTGATTTGGTAAGAAGAAGAGGAGGGAAGTTTGTTTGTCTTAAACACTTGTAACCTGATACGTACGAGTATTTAATTTATAGCTTTTTTTCTATTACCCTTTAGTATGTTCCAACAAGTCACGATAATTCAAATATTGCTTAATTCTTAATTTCCTGGAATATTTCTGCATGGAAGTGAATGTCAAAACAAAAGGAACCTCCAAATAGTCATTCCAAACACTAAAGTAATCTTTTGATCATATGCAAGATGGCTACATTCACTTTGTGTGATGTGAGAATTGTAGGTAAGACTGCCTAAGAATTTTAGGTAAGAAAAATTAGGTAGACTTGTTCTTTATCCATGGTGCCAGGAATACATCTATATGTTAGGTTAATTAGAGGCATAGAGATCAAATGAACTAAACAATGGTTTGAAGCTTATTTTATCTATAATTATCCATACAATAGCCTCCTGTATGTGTTTGTTCGGTAGCATGAAACAAGATTAAGAAATGAAGATCCAAAGGTGGCAAAGGTGAGTCCTTGTTCGATCTTACGAGCTATCATTGCGCATGCGTAAACGTAATAACTTCGAAAGGTCAATTCAAGGGAAAACCTTTCAACACCATACATGGGCAGCACTATAGCATTCAACAAAAGTGTGTGATTTTATAATGAGATTGTTCATGTTCAACATGATATTGATCAGGATGAATGGACTCAAGTGAGAAAATACAAGTTATTTAAAATGCATTTTGTGTTCCACATGTTATGCATCTAAGTTATATAACTAATTCTACCAATGTTTGCATTAAACCAAGTTTTTCTTTCCTTGTAGAGAATGTATTTGAAACATTTAAGTTTTTATGACTTCTTTCTTTCACCATTAATTTTATATATAAGCTAAACAAGAGAAAAGAAAACGATACAACAAGGAAAAGGAGGAGAAACATGTTTTCACATATTTAATTTACTCTTATTGACATGATTAATTATTTTTTCACTTTGACATTTGACTCTTCATATTCTGTTGGATTTTTTAATTATTGTTCGAATAGCATTTCCTTATCCATTAATATAATTGACATGCTTCAACATAATAAAAAAATTACTCACAGAGCATGCACTAGCAAATCTGCCTTGGTTTCTCTTTTTTTTTTTTTTTTTCTTGAAGATAAAAGAAAGAATTGTTTAATCTTTGTTTTGTACCGTTTGATGTGTGATAAGTATATTATATTCTTAGAGAACGGGAAATGCTATTCTTGGTTTTTCAAAATGTTAGAGAATATAAATTGTTTAATCTCTGTTTTGTACAGTGTGATAAGTATATTATTCTTATTAATTTGAATAAATTTCATATATCAAGGTTAGATGTGCCCAAAGATGATTTTTTATATTCCATGTTTGTCCTTTTAGGTTTACAGAAAAATAATTTTAATCATGAAAATACTGTTGAGCAGAATCTCCAAAAGATTTCAATGCTTGTGATGAATTCAGATTAGCTGAATACTTTAGCTGTTTTAGCTGTTCACCAATGATAAGGTTTCACAGCAATATTTAAATACATGGTGCCCGCATGAATTTTTTACAATGGGGCCCATGAATTTATTATTGGCGTAGAACCTCATCATTGGTTCTGATCCACAGCCTGCTGAACAGCTAAAGCATTGAGCTCGCTTGTGATAACAATAAGATTAACTTAAAAATTAATAAAATATGTTTCCCGGCCCTTTCAATGATGATGAAAATGATGAATTCTATCTTTATTCACCCATTGTCATTCAAGTACAGATAAAAAACATGTTAGGCTATAAGTTGATCACTGAATGCCAGTACAGAAATTTCATCTGTCTTTCTGAATGGAAACTTTCTACTTTTCTTAGTATCTTGATTCTTTCTTACTCATTTTGTAAATATCTGGAATTCTTTTTCATTTGTGCGTCCATCAAAGGAAGACTGCTTTAGATGTGAACATCTTTCTTTATTTTAAGGGTAAATTGCTGAAACCTCTCCTTTACTTTATTTTAAGGGTAATTTGTGTGTCCACAATTGCTGTTCAGCACCCTACTTTATGCTAATAGCACTGTTCTCCCCTAAACTTTATAAAATTGTTGCATCTACCCCCTCCATTAACTCAACATTAGAATGCTAATCTAAATTGCTGATGTCAACATCTCAAGAATTTTAAATGTCAAGACTGTCCTTAGATGAAAACATGTGGTTTTACACTAACCAAAATACCCTTAAAAGATCATTTCTATCCTGCTTGAACAGTTGGTTAGAACCCACCTCACCCACTCCACCACACTCAATATTTTTCTCAAAACACAAAACAAATAAATGTAGGAGATGCAAAAATTGATAAAAATTTTACTAACAAAAATGACAAATTTTCAAAAATAACATAAAAAAATGATACGTTTTTCTAAAAAATATAGTTCAACCAAAAAATCATAATTTTAGAAAAAAATACATAAAATGATAAAAACTTCACATATATATATATATATATATAAAGTAAAGAGGCAAAAATTGTAGAAAACAAATAAAATTATAAAAAATAAAAATATATATATATATTTCAATAAAAAGTAGAAAATGTAAAAATACATAAAATTCATAAAAAAATCAATAAAAAATGTAGATGCAACAATGCCAGAAATTTCAGGGGAGGACAGTTCTATTAGCATAAAGCTAACAGGGTATAAACCACAATCGTCAGAAATTACAGGGGAGGTTTAATTAACATTAATGATCTGTTAGGAAAGAGTACAAATACAAATATGTAGAGTGGAAAACCTTGTATTTTGTATTTTTTTGTATGTATTTATACTGTACATATTTGTATTTGTACTCCTTCTGAACTGAGCCTAAACAATTAGCCACAACTCCAAATCTTATAACATCAATTATGACATACCACCTCAGCACAAGTCATGTTTAGGAGGATGACATTGAGTAGAGTTCTTAACCATATAAGGTGACAAATGATAAGGATGGCTGATCAAACATTGAATTATTCTAGACAGAAAAAGAAAATAGCATTGCTTTTAGGGCTCATCAACAGAGAGGATTTCAGATTCCATCATGGTCTTCCACTGAAAGATTCTCCAAAGTGGGTATTATGGGCCTGGTCTCAATCACTCTGATAGATAAAAAGTTAAACTCTAGGGCTAACTATTCTTGACCTTGATACTTTTGGGGTGAGGCTCATGCACTTCACTACCATCCGCACATAGGGCTCACGTTTAATTACCTGAAGGGTCAAGATATGCCAAGATTTGTATGGTTTGGGGTGTTAGAAAACAAGGAGGATGATGGAAGTATTCTTCTTTGATCACCAGACGAATCCCCTAAGCTCGACGATCAAGGTTGGAGGTCTAAAAGAGAAATTTCAAGAATTAATTAAGTTTAATAAGGATGTCCATGCTTTATCTAATCAAATCGTTTGAAAAGTTCAAATCTTCTAGTTGAATTGAGTTTTTACTTTTTAGGGTTGCCATCCATCCAAATTGACTAGAACTACAATCAGAGATAACTAATAGTCATATTTGACAGTCTCTGCTCGAAAATGTTCCCTTGGGCAACAATTAGACCTCTATATGTTTCTCTTTCTTAATTTGAATGAAGGCGGTTTGCTAGGCTGCATTTCAACGAGAATGGAAAATATTTATCCAGGAAAATTGAAGTGAATAAGTTTAGACAACAGAGGTCAACCTACAAATGGTAGTTTGATTGCATTGATCAGCTTCCTAGTTTCTCTGTTATCTGGGTTTATCTTATTGATTTGAACAAAAACAGGCCTAATAAAATGGCAAAATTATGGCTGAGGCATCGCCAATTGTAATTAATCCGGCAGGTTGGGCGCCCGACAATAACATCAATCTATTAGTCCTATTCCATTATTGGTTCCCAAACAATCTCTAGATATGTATTTAACTGGGAGATTAAGCTCTCAATTGTTAGATTCTTATTAATTCAACTATATATATCTAAGCCAGGTCACTTAATTAGTTCATCTGGACAGGGAAGTAAATGAATAGCTAATAAAACTTTTCTGTATGGTTCTAATGAATTAATTGTCTTACAAAATGTCTAATAAAGTATAAAAGTACTGAAACAAAATTATTCACCACAGTACAGTACAATCCAAGCTTGGGCTAAAAGTTCACAAATTAAGTCATATTATTTCCAAATTAAATTTGGTATTGGGCGATCTTGCTTCCCGAAGTCTTCTTTCTACTGAAAGTTGCTTTGCAAACCTAGAAACAAGAAACAACGTACATTATAACTTATAAACTGTAAATTAAAGAAATAACATTAATCAAAGTATAGTTAATGTATTATTAATTATCTATTAATTAATTAAGAAGTGATTATATGAATTATAAGCAGTTGGTCTTAAGTACTTCTTGAGAGCTTCTTCATTGGTTCCACCGTTAGTGATAGGTTCAAAGATACCCGTTTGCAAATTCACTCCAGAAACTGGTTTCTTCAACAATGCTTCTCCTGCTTTCACCAGATTGTCCAAGTTTTCTTTGGTGGCGATATCAACTGAAGATATCTCTCCGACCAATGTATCGTCCTGGTTTTTAGATAACCAAGAATATATGCATGAACAACTAAACTCAACTGTTATTCACATATCCATAATTATCAAAGAAGCTAGCTAGCGTGTCTCTGTATGTTGGTTAATTATTACCTGAATTCGGAGATAGCTACTTCCAGATTTTAGGGCTTGAAAGACCACAGCATTATGATAATCAACCATATCTCCACTCGCCTGAGTGAACACATCCACTAGTGGAGTTGAACCACCATTGACGAGCCACTGTATGATTCCCCACTTGGTTGCCATGTTAGCGTTGTATTTCTGTTCCATCTTTGCCGTGCCGGTTCCAATGGAGATGACTAGAAATCTACCATAATCCATGGGCTTAATTGGGAAGAAATCAGGATTTTCTTTGGTGATCTGCTTGGTCACTTCGCTAATTGCAACCAAGGCCTAGAATGATACGCCAAAAAATCAAAAATAAGAAAGAAGGATATATAATCTTAGCTGTGCTAGCTCGTGGTATTTGATTTTGTAAAAACTAATCAATTTATTTTGCTGTGTACCGGATTATTGGCAGTAACGCCACCATCAATAAGGTTGAATTCCCGCTCATTCCCATCTTGATCTTGGGTTTTAAAATAATAGGCCGGAAGGTAAGTCGGAGCTGCGGAAGTGCTAATGCAAATATCAGAGAGCCGAGCATCCATGGTCGAGCTTTTCTTCACCTGTAAAGATATAATTCTTGGATTTTAGTTTTGCAACTGTGGAGATGTATATATTCAGGTTCATCTAGTCTTTCTGAAAGCAAGTTAATATATAACTTCTATTTTAAACTCAGTCTTCATTGATTGCCATAGGCCTTGCGTTGCGGCCTGCATACAGTAGTTGAGTGGGTTTTTTGCCATTTGGAAGCTGGTTCGGCATGGTGGATCGAATAGGCGATCCAGATCGAGGATGGTTTGCATCGATCACAGACCCACAGAATTCCATTTTATATATGCCAGAAATACCAGAAATATGTATATACTTACAAGTATTTATGTATGCAAATACAAAATACAGAGAGAACTACAGAGAGAGAGAGAGAGAGAGAGTAACCTCATAGGAGGAGAAGATGGTGGGCTGTAGACGCTTTATATCAAAAGTGGGGATAACAATATTGGTCAAGGTTTGGTGCAACCGCGTTTCTCCGAGCTTCTTTTCTACGAGGCTGTGAAGATACTTCCCATCATATTTGGGTCCATTCATTAGCTTGATTAGATTTAAAGCCGATCCAAAAATACCACTGCAATTCACAGAAAAAAAAAAGGAAAAAATAAAGATAAAAAAGAGCATAAGATTGCTGCCGTGATTTTCTGCTTCAAGCAACACTATTCTTTAGCCAAACAAAATAATAATAAATCGTGTCCTATCCCATGCAAAGGATCCAAAACATCAAAATTTAGGAATGACCATTTTTCTCTTTCTTCTCTGAGTTTGCTCGTACCTGTTTGTTATACTGTTGTTCTTACCTTGTCTGTGGGAAAATTTTAGGGCAATCTTCAAGGTAGAAAGGAACGATGTCTTTAGCAGCAAACAGAGGACGATTGTTTTCATTTGGTGCAGTTAACATAGCTGTAACAAGACCACCTGTGCTTGTCCCTGCAATAACGTCGAAATAATCTGCAAGTCTCGCATCCTCACCGTCGAGTTTCTGAATCAAGATGACAATATGCATGCATCCTTCAAACTTTAGACCAACAATTTATACTGACCAAACATGTATATATAGATAAAGGTTTCATCATGGAACAAGGACTATTGCTCTGAGATATGCTTTAAATCATGGAAGTGATTAAATGAATAAACCATATACGTTGAGTTAGATCAATGAATTTGAAAATTAAATGGGTACACTAAAATTTTCATTAATAGATATATATATATATATAGTAGTCAGGCATGCATGTTAGTAAATTACTTAACCTGAAGTTGTGATTCAAGGAATGCGAGAATAGTTCCTGGGATAATCCCCCTTATTCCACCTCCGTCAATGCTGAGAATGGTGACTAGGTTTCCATAAGTCGGTGGCTGTATAGGAAGAAGGGATGATGTTCTTTCCATGGCGCTTGCAACTTATTGGTTTGAAGCAGGAAGGAAAAGGTAATAAGCAAAATTATTGTCTAAGCTAGATATAACAAGTAGTGATCGAATAACTGGATTTCCGCCACTATACATTGATGACAATTTTTGTTTGGTGAACAAAGTATTTATAGCCTTAAATTGAATCAGTCTATCTTAACAAAGCTGGTGTTTGGATGCAAAAACAGTGCTGCTAGCTAGATCAGCGCCACGTACGAAATCTGTTTTTTCAAATAACGCCTGATGTTTAGTTTTGCAGTTTTCCAAAAAAACGTTTTTTCAGACGTCCTGAAAAGTGAAAATCAGAAAAGGCGTGGTTTTTTACTGTTATAAACTTCTAATAACAGTATGCTAAGATGACATTGAAAAATGCTTATGCAGCAGCAAATGCAGCACCGTTTTCTCAAGAAACAACTCTCAGGAAACGGCATTGGTTCTAAACACCTTAAAACTTACGCATTATTTCCAAAACCTTATACAAGAAGCTACTGGAATGTATTGGTTTTGAATGAGAAAATCAGAACCTATGAAATGATATTACACCTTAAAGGCTCATATCCAGTTGACTTGGTATAGTGGTACTGATTCATTAATGATCTATAGTCCATACAATAAATAAACTAAAACAGTCATCGCCCGGGGAGGTTGCCGGCCGGAGGAAGGAATCGGAGTATATATTAATGTAAAATTTTGATTAATAATTCTTTTGATCATGTCAACCTGTGCCATGTATATATGTAGATCGAACTAGAAGTTGAGACGACCTGCCAAAACCAGAGATGATTTAAATGAGGTTACTCCACGTAAACTTGGTCCAATCCAATTAAGTGCTTTTGTTTCATTTCTAAACAAAAGATTTGAAAACGAAGGCAAACAAACATTGAAAGTGATCTTCATCCTTGTTGGCTCAAAAGTCAGAATTAACATTAATTTGATTCACCAGCAGGCCATTTGCTGTGGCCTTACTTTCCTTCTTCTTAACTTTTCTGGTCTTTTGTATCTACAACATTCATAAGATTGAAAAGTAATCTTCACATCTTACTGTTTGTAATTTCTTGGTCTGAGCGTTGAGCGTATAAATGAATTTGCCTTTCCAGGCTTCAAGAAAGCAAAAGTTAAAAATAAAATAAAAATCTTAATTACTTGAGACTATATTTTTTCAGACTTTTGAATGTCTCTCATCTATTTATAATCTTTAAGAGGTAGGTTTAACTCGTCCATCACGGATAAAAAAAAAAATCTCATTTGATTAATATATTAGAATAAAAAGGTTTTCATCTTAAATCATGTTTACCCAGTCAAGAGAAGTACTTCTTAATCTTTATTGATATTATCTTATATTTTTTTCTATGTTCTCTTGTAAGTAATAATAAGTTTGTAGGGTCATAAAATGATCAAGGCCTTTCTTTGTCAAACTGTGTTGCAACATTTCCATTAATTATTTGCTTTCGTTTCATAGTCCAAATTCTTGATTTAAGCCCCCTAGCTAATTCCTCAAATAAATAAATAAATAAATAAATGCATTTATGTATGTATGTATGCATGTGTGTGTATGTGACACACACACATCGGGTTACAGAATTTTGGAGTCCATTGACAGCCTACAGCACCTAGGTGATGAAGGAAACCTTCCTAGACCACTCGGGATTTCCTACTCACTTCTACCCGCCATGAATTGGAACCACACATCTCTATTATGAATTGTGAGATGTGTGGCTGCAATTCATGGTGGGTAGAGAGTGGGTAGGAAAAGTTAGTAGGAAATTTGGGCTCTTCCTAGACATGACAGATTACCATGAGTGTGAAGAAAATGAGTAATTGACTTCGGAGGGTGTTTTTTAGTGTGGCAGGGACCAATCCACACCAAACCACAGTTCACAATTATTYTGAATTATGGACAGAATGTGTGGATAGGACCAGTCCACACTCATAATGGTGTTGTGCAAGCATGGTGTTGACCAGTCTACACAACACTTTTTGATTCCATGTTTCTTATATAGAGTTTATGAAGAATCTACACAGTCGACCATAAATGTCTAAGTTTTACAATATATATGATAAACAAATTGGAAGAAAGACTTTAGCAACGGAATTATTTTTGAATTGGTCACGGGTATATGCCATGTTGTGTGTGTTGTTGAATTTCTCAACAATATATTTCCAACCATCATTGTTGAATGTTGAGGTTGGTCTATTATGAGGCTTCACTTGATCTACCATTAATTCAATGAATGTCCGTTCTTCGGCCTCACTCCATGTGGCCGACTCATGCACTACTTCAAACTGAGAGGCCATATATGTCTGTAGAATAGAATATGAATGGATTATGTGAAACAATCAAAATCTAATAAGTTTAAACAATTTCAAAGTACCCAACTATCTAATGTTTATAGTGGTTCCTATTTTTTTCTTTATAATAGTTCCTAATAACTAGACCACATGATATAAACAATCAAACAATATTCAACTTTATCTAATGATCCTAGCTAGGAGTTTGTAAGACAAGCATCTTGCAAAATAGCACACAAGCATCCTAGCTAGAAGTTTCCAAAAATAAGTGCAACCTTGACTTTTCAAGGTTGTGAACACAAGAAAGTGATATGAATCAACCATACAACATAAATAATCTATATGGTAAAAAATGCAATTAAATATCCAATTTTAGGATTGTTTTCTTGTTAGAAATTGATTAGTCCAATTTCTGGACTCAATCTCAAAGTACTCAAGATGTAGATACAAACTATAATGTTTGATAAAATGGGCACATTGACAGTGGGAAAACCTATGGTAGTTAATGCAATGCTCTTTTCAAATGTTCATATCTACGAGTTCTGTGGCATGGTTGCTGCTGATGCTGAGGTGAGAGTTGATATTTAACAACTAGTTTTGTTGGAATTGCTTTGCTCTATATTCTGGATTAAAAGTTATAGATTTGACTTTCCCAAAGATTTCTAAAAGTTCCATTGATAGGTAAATAGTGAGCAGCCTATAGCAAGGTTGTGATTGAATATACTAATAAGTTGCATAAGTATGGCTTTGCTATGGAACATGTGACAGAGCCCAAGGACTTGGAGGTGCATCCAGGGGCTGGGGTTAGTGGAAATGTTGGGGGAAAACTAGTGTTGGTTGGGAACAAGAGGTTCATGTAGGCCTACAATGTTCCACTGGCCCTGAGGTTAAAGATTAACAACTAGCTCGTACATGTGTACTAGTAGACATTGATGGGAGGATTGTTGGTGCTTTTGCCATAATAGTTCTTGCAAAACCAAAGGCAGAAGGTGTTGTATCATACCTATGAAACCAAAGGCAGATGGTGTTGTATCATACCTTCGGTTAATGAGGATCTCAAGTGTTATGGTGACTGTGGATAATTGGGCTACAACAACTGTCATTGCAAGGGAACTTGGAATTAGAAAAGTGTTTGCTAAAAATGGTTCACTAGAAAAGGCAGATAAGATCAAAAAATTACAGGTAGATACATCCAAATACTTGCTAGGTCGGTAATACTCTATATGAACTATAGAAGTCTGATGCAAAAACAATCATGTATTCATGTATAAGCTTTCATGTTTAAAGTGTCTCATTTATTGTTGATGTTATTGATTTTCTATCAAATAATCGTATCTGCCCCATAAACGTTGATATTGATTTTCTAGTTCATAGGAATAAATGGTTGTTTAAAGGCTTTGTTCAATTGATATTGTGTAGGGACAAGCTCACTTGCATGTTAGAAAACTATATATAAATTATACGTGCATCTCTAACAACCTTACATGCTTGGACTTAATTAAGCATAGACTGAGTGTGAAGTTCTAGTAATAATCAAACCAAAATTTTATTAAGAGGACTTGTTGGTTTATTGCTAACATCTTAAGATCCGTTTTGCCATTATGTCAAGGAGCAACATAGCACTGGGTCAAAAGAACAGGGGAGTGTCATGACACAAATGGATAATGAATCTATGTTTACAGAGATACAAGTGATTGAGAAAATGGATGGAAAGTCACAATCAAGGGATTTAACTGAAAAATCTAGAGGAACAAGAATCTGATGTGAAATAAACAAACACCAAGAAATATGAACAAGTCATTAAACAATAGAGATTATATATTGATCAAGCATTTATGCATTTTTTTCCAAATGAAAAAAAAAAAGGAGAAGATATTGCTTTCGAGTGACAGCATACACAGACATAGCATACACAAAGATAGCATAAACAAAAGGAGAAGAAGGTAAAAATGAATGAAAAAAAAAAAAAACAAGATCTGTTATAGCATCTACAAATAGGTATGACAACGAGTCTATTCGTTTCAACATTCAAATTAAAAAGAAAAACAAAGAAGAAGAAAAATCATGAGAGAGACGAAGAAAAATCAACGGATAATCTTCTTCTTTCCTTGTGGTAGAGCACAGCAACAAGGAGCTTCAACGAAGAGCACAGGGCATAGGTGGTGGAGAATAGCAACGGTAAAATGTTTAGGGTAAAAAAAGAAGCGTGTGATGCATATTATCAATAAAAAATTGCATAATAGCTGGGGACCGAATTCAACCACAATAAAAATGCGTTGACGAGTTACTGAGTCGTGGCCAGGGCCGGTCCATGATATATTGTGGACTGGTCCCATCCACACCAAACCAAACTCTGTGTTCAGCCCATGCCATGGGCTGAAACGGTCCATCCATGAGATGAATACAGTATCAAACACCACCTTCAATATTCTTTTGGCCAAAAAGATAGGCAGGAAATTGAATGGATTAACTTGTCATACAAAAGTAGCTCTCCGACAACCCAAGCAGTTGAAGTACAAATCTTCTGCCAACAAAACACCTTCCAACCCCATACCAACTTGATCTAACACCGCACATCTCACTATGAAAGTGGGACTCGCCATGTATGAGATGTACAATGAGAGATCATATTGGTAGAGGATTGGAACATGTTTTATTGGCAGGTGATCCGAATTCCAAGCATTTAGCTCCAATATCCTATTTATTTGGGGAGGGTGGGGGCCTAGAGTCTGATGAGAAAATTATGGTGGAATAAGATCTCCCTTCTTCAAATTTTCTTCAAAGCTCTTGA